CACACACACACACACACATCTGTGATAAAATCAGTAAATAGATTTTTGTAAATCCTACAATTTTTTAATAAAACGTATAATTTTTTTAGATACTTCAGGATTCCAGTACTTTTTCCTTATCCTGTGTGTGTGCGCGCGCGCGTGCACATACATATATATGTATGCATACTCACACATATATCTAGTGTCCTACTTTAAGAAAAATAAATAAAAACTGAAGGAAAGATTTATATAAAAATGATATAAAATATGTTTAATTTGAAACAGTTTTTAGACATTTCCTTCATTTTAGATTTGTTGAAAAAAATGAAGAAAATTCTTTTTTTTTAAATAAAATTAATTTTTTATTATAATTCAATTTTCCTCTAATCATTTTATATTTAAAAAATCATTAAAATGAGATAAATAAAAAAATCAATACTGAAGATATTTAATTGTGGCATATTACTCTAATATGAGAATATAAACTATTTTATATGTTATATACTGTGTTAGCATAACAACCGCTAGTCTCGGGGAAAGAAAACTAGTTGCAGTAGTGATCCCCGGGGTGGGTGGGTCCCAATCACCAGGACACAGCGCGTCCTCGGGTTGCGGATAGAGGAAAAGCCTCGCTATCTCAGTTGAGGATAGAGGTTAGCTGCGAATAAATTGAATAAGCAGTCGCGGACAGCCGATTGGAATGGTCCTCCTGTTTGGGGGTTGGGCGTGGGTTTGATAGGCTCACACCGTGAAACGACTTTATCTAGAAACAACCAAAACTCGCCATGGATTCTTCTGGGGTAAAATTTTCCGGAGGTAAACTAGTATACCCTCCCCCGTTCGGATCTCCGGGTGGGGACTACCTCGGGGAACTCATGTCGTATAAAGTCAAAACGCGGGAGAGACTTCAAAGTGGGTACGTGGAACGTCCGAAGTCTTTACAGACCTGGGGCGTTTCAATCGATGGTCGGGGAGGTCGAAAGGTACGGGGTAGAAGTTGTCGCGTTGCAAGAAACAAGATGGGCCGGGGAGGGTTCGCTTAATGCGGGTTCGTACACGCTTCACTATGGAGGGTCGGAGATCCATAGTCTTGGCATCGGTTTTATGATTAATAGGAAAATCTTATCCGCGGTAAAAGACATTAAATTTATAAACGAAAGATTAGGATTGCTCGTTGTGCAGGGCCGATGGTACAAGATCGCGATAATCAACGTACACGCGCCGACGGAAGATAAAGATGGCGAAATTAAAGACGGGTTCTACGAAGAACTCGAACACCTCGTGGATCAATTACCGAACGATTACATGAAAATAGTCGTGGGAGATTTTAACGCGAAAATCGGTAAAGAGGACATTTTTAGACCAACGATCGGGCTCGAAAGTTTGCACGAGGAAAGTAACGATAACGGAGTGAGGGTAATTAACTTTGCGACCGGCAAAAATCTTATCGTCAAAAGCACGTATTTTAAACACAAAAATATCCATAAACAAACTTGGATTTCCCCGGATGGAGGCACGCGTAACCAAATTGATCACGTTCTTGCAGATAAACGGCGCCACACGAACGTACTCGATGTCAGGTCTTATAGGGGGGCGGATTGCGACTCGGATCACCTCTTTGTAATTGCCAAAATCAGGGAACGTCTTTCGCTAAACAAAACTAACGGGCAGTTGTTTGGAACTAAACGTCTAAATGTACAAGGTTTGATCGAGGGAGAAAACGGAATAAAATACGCGGTCGAAGTAACGAATAGACTCGCGGCTTCAAAGGAAATAGATGAATCGGATGATAACACGGTTGATAAACACTGGGAAAACGTACGAGACGCGATAGTAAAATCGGCGGAGGCCACGGTTGGTTTTTGTAAAAGGAACAAAAACAAGCCGTGGTTTGACGAAGAATGCGTAAAAATTGTTAAAGTACGAAACGAAGCGCGCATCACGTGGTTGGCTCAAAATACGAAGGAAACTCGGGATCAGTTTCTTAAGATTAGGCAAGAGGCTCATAATATGTTTAAAATTAAGAAGCGTCAATACTTAAAACGTAAAATTGAAGAAATAGATGAAAATTGTAAAAGCAGTAACGTACGAGGCACGTACATGGGGATAAATAATTTTAGAAAGGGATTCCAAGCTAGGACGGAAATGGTGAAAGATGAGAACGATAATTTAGTTACGGATACAACGGCAGTTTTAAACACATGGAAAAATTATTTTGATCGGTTATTGAATGTCGAATCTGAAAACGACCGGGAAATAGAGAATTTTGAGTATCACACGGCTGAACCTAGGATTAACGAACCGACAATTTCAGAAGTAGAAAGCGCGATTAAAAAATTAAAAAATCACAAAGCACCGGGTAATGACTTGATTCCGGCGGAACTGATTAAATGGGGGGGAAGTAGATTGATAGAAGAAATTCAGAAATTAATTATCTTAATATGGAATAAAGAAGCATTGCCGGAACAATGGAAAGATTCAATTATAATCCCGATTTTCAAAAAGGGGGACAAAATGAGTTGTAATAATTACCGGGGTATCTCACTTTTACCTACATGCTATAAAATTCTGTCGAATATTTTATTAATGAGGCTTGTACCATATGCAGATGAGATAATTGGAGATCATCAATGCGGCTTTAGGAGAAATAGATCGACTGCGGACCAAATCTTTACTATTCGGCAAATCTTGGAGAAAAAATGGGAATTCGACCAATCGGTACATCAACTTTACATTGATTTTAAAAAAGCGTATGATTCGATAAAACGGGAGAAAATGTATGAAATTTTAACTCGGTGGGGGATACCCAAAAAATTGGCTAACTTAGTCCAAGTTTGTTTAAAAGATACCAGAGGTAGAGTAAGAATAGGTAATCAAATGTCGGAAACTTTTAATATTCATAGCGGATTAAAGCAGGGGGATGCATTGTCACCTCTTCTGTTTAATCTAGTATTGGAATATGCTATTAAAGAAATGCAGAAGAGTAATGATGGTTTGCAGTTGAACGGTACAACACAAATATTAACATATGCGGACGATATTGCTTTGTTGGGAGATAATAAAGAAACACTAATAAATAACGCTAAAATTCTATTAGATAAAACGAAAGAACTGGGGCTGCAAATAAACGTTGAAAAAACTAAATATATGGTCACTGATAGAATTCAGAATATTCATAATAACGGAAACCTGGTCGTCTGTGATAAAATTTTTGAACGGGTTAGCAATTTTAAGTATTTAGGATCGATTTTAAACCAAACTAATGAAATAAGAGAAGAGCTCAAGAGAAGAATTAATTTGGGGAATGCGTGCTTCTATTCGGTTAAGAAACTACTCGGTTCGCGGATATTGTCTAGGCGCTTAAAAATTAGAATTTACAGAACGATTATTTTACCGGTAGTCCTTTATGGCAGCGAAGCGTGGTCACTTACATTACAAGACGAGAAAAGATTTAGGGCTTTCGAAAATAAAGTACTTCGAAAAATCATCGGGGCAAAACGCGATGAGGAAACGGGCGAATGGAGAAAATTACACAACGCAGAATTACATCAATTATATAATAGTCCGGATATTATTAATGTCATAAAATCGCGTCGATTAAGATGGGCAGGTCACGCGGCGCGTATGGATGAGAATCGAATTGCATATAAAGTACTAATTGGTAAACCGGATGGGAAAAGACCATTGGGTAGACCAAGACGTAGATGGGAAGATAATATTAGAATGGACCTTAACGAAATGGGGTACGAGGGTCACAAATGGAGGGATCTGGCTCAGGGACGGGAACAGTGGCGGGATTTGGTATTTGCGGCAATGAGCTTTCGAGTTCCTAACGCCTAATAATAATAATAATAATAATATGTTATATAAAGTATTTGCTTTTCAATAACTTTGTCAAAGTATTTTTATATATGAGATAAAAAAATTAATTATTCGTTTTGTGTATAAGTTATGAATACAAATACATTAATACATCAAAAAAAGAGCAATTCTTTTTAAAAAATTATATAGCTATGTGAACTTTTTACATAAATTTTTTTATATCAAATATTAAAAAATATACTAAATTTAGTAATTGTTGCTGTTTCTAATTATATTACTATTAAAGAATATTTACTTGAAGCTTTTTGCTGCTGTTGAGGTAAAGTTGGTGCTCTGTGTTGCTGTTGTTCCCAAGCTGTTTGTTGTGGGCCCCATGCTCCTTGTGGTTGCTGTTGTTGTGGTAGTCGGCTCCATGCTCCTTGTGATTGTTGTTGTTGTTGGCTAGATGCTCCTTGTAGTTGTTGTGGTTCACTTTGTGGTATTTGTTGTCGTGGGCGACCCCATGCTCCTTGTTGTTGTGGTTGGCTCCATGCTTCTTGTGATTGTTGTTGTTGGCCCCGTGTTTCTTGTGGTTGTTGTTGTGGTTGGCTCCGTGCTCCTTGTTGTTGTGGTTGGCTCCGTGCTCCTTGTTGTTGTGGTTGGCTCCGTGCTCCTTGTTGTTGTGGTTGGCTCCGTGCTCCTTGTTGTTGTGGTTGGCTCCGTGCTCCTTGTTGTTGTGGTTGGCTCCGTGCTCCTTGTTGTTGTGGTTGGCTCCGTGCTCCTTGTTGTTGTGGTTGGCTCCGTGCTCCTTGTTGTTGTGGTTGGCTCCGTGCTCCTTGTTGTTGTGGTTGGCTCCGTGCTCCTTGTTGTTGTGGTTGGCTCCGTGCTCCTTGTTGTTGTGGTTGGCTCCGTGCTCCTTGTTGTTGTGGTTGGCTCCGTGCTCCTTGTTGTTGTGGTTGGCTCCGTGCTCCTTGTTGTTGTGGTTGGCTCCGTGCTCCTTGTTGTTGTGGTTGGCTCCGTGCTCCTTGTTGTTGTGGTTGGCTCCGTGCTCCTTGTTGTTGTGGTTGGCTCCGTGCTCCTTGTTGTTGTGGTTGGCTCCGTGCTCCTTGTTGTTGTGGTTGGCTCCGTGCTCCTTGTTGTTGTGGTTGGCTCCGTGCTCCTTGTTGTTGTGGTTGGCTCCGTGCTCCTTGTTGTTGTGGTTGGCTCCGTGCTCCTTGTTGTTGTGGTTGGCTCCGTGCTCCTTGTTGTTGTGGTTGGCTCCGTGCTCCTTGTTGTTGTGGTTGGCTCCGTGCTCCTTGTTGTTGTGGTTGGCTCCGTGCTCCTTGTTGTTGTGGTTGGCTCCGTGCTCCTTGTTGTTGTGGTTGGCTCCGTGCTCCTTGTTGTTGTGGTTGGCTCCGTGCTCCTTGTTGTTGTGGTTGGCTCCGTGCTCCTTGTTGTTGTGGTTGGCTCCGTGCTCCTTGTTGTTGTGGTTGGCTCCGTGCTCCTTGTTGTTGTGGTTGGCTCCGTGCTCCTTGTTGTTGTGGTTGGCTCCGTGCTCCTTGTTGTTGTGGTTGGCTCCGTGCTCCTTGTTGTTGTGGTTGGCTCCGTGCTCCTTGTTGTTGTGGTTGGCTCCGTGCTCCTTGTTGTTGTGGTTGGCTCCGTGCTCCTTGTTGTTGTGGTTGGCTCCGTGCTCCTTGTTGTTGTGGTTGGCTCCGTGCTCCTTGTTGTTGTGGTTGGCTCCGTGCTCCTTGTTGTTGTGGTTGGCTCCGTGCTCCTTGTTGTTGTGGTTGGCTCCGTGCTCCTTGTGATTGTTGTTGTTGCTGGCTAGATGCTTCTTGTGGTTGTTGCTGTGGTAGATTCTGTGGTGTTTGTTGTCGTGGACGACTCCATGCTCCTTGTAGTGGTTGTGGCTCGCTTTGTGATATTTGTTGTCGTGGGCGGCCCCCTCGTTGTTGTTGTTGTTGTTGTGAATGATCCTGTGATACTTGACGTGTGCCCAACGATTCTTGTTGTTGCTGACCTTGTGGTAACAACTTCTGCAAACTCTTAGTTATTTTCTGTTGCTGTTTTGTATCTTACTTGTTGCTACTTTGAATTTTTGAGTACCTTTTGTTGTTTTGAAGAACCATCAGCAGTCTGTTTCGAAGTTGATGCAGCTACTTCCTGTTCCTTTGCTATAATTTGTATTATTTTTTATTAAATATTTCTTAGGCCGATTGCATCAATTTCAACTTTAAGCGAGGTTTAAAACTCTCTATTTCTCTCTCTCTTTCGACTTTAAAGAGAAACAGTAAGAGTTTTAAGTCTTGCTTGAAGTCAAAGTAATGTTGGTACAATCGGGTTTTAAAGAATAGGTACAAATCAAGTTTTAAGAAATTGTAATATAAATATTTACATACTTAAAGCTTTCAACTAATTTAATTTCAGAGCTGTCCTGGGTATCTATCATGGAACATGTTGAAATAAATTCCGATCGAAATTATACCGTTTTTCATAAAAAATACAATAGAAATCTAGGAAATAATTGAATAATTCCGATCGGAATCCATTCCGACTTGTTTCATGATAAATGCCCAGACTAGGTATTTTTGGCCAAAGAGAATTAGATAGAGCGGAAGCCGGAAGATTCGCGTATATCGTAACAATCTGTCAAGTTGGACGCACAATTACGTTCCTAATTTCATTTTTATTTTATATGGAAATTTTATATGGAAAACAGAATATTAATTGTAATTGTAAAAGTATTTCGTAGCCATGCAGTTTTAGTATATAGATATGAAAATGAAAGATACCGAGTTTGAATCTCGTTCGACTTCGTTAATTTTTTCATCGTTATTACTATTGAAATGCAGCATCAGATTCACAAGATAACACTAATAACACTATACGGAAAATATATTACGATCTCATAAGGATCTTCCATTCTATCTAATCCTTTTTGCTTTTGACTTAAAATTAAAATGTGTCGATATTCATGCCTATTATCGTTTCGACTCTGTTTTAAAAGAGCAATGAAATAAGGAGTAGGTACGGTAACAGACACGAATACCGATATATTTTAATTTCAAGAGAAAAGTATTAGATCGTACCCCTGCATTCTATAACTTGTACAGTCGTTATAACGTTATTACAATTGCACAGCTTTTTTACTGTATAAAATATCTATGCAACTGTCGTTGAGCACGAACAATTGCATAACGAATACAGAATACAGAAGCTGAACAGCTCAGTATAATGATCACGTAATTTTTTCTCTGGGACAAAAACGTGAAAAGTAAAAATTTTTTGTATGTACATGTATACACACACACACACACACACACACACACACACACACACACACACACACACACACACACACAAAATTGTTTTAAAGAAATTGTACAAAAACTGTTTTAAAGAAAAAGTTACACGATCGTTACCCTAATTTAATTAAATAATTACTTTTAAATAAATAAATAAATACATAAGTTCTTATAGTTACATTATGTTATACTTTCTACACTTATGAAATAGGTTTATTATAAAATAGGAATATTAGAGGAAAAAAAAGTAAAGAAAAATTATATAAAAAGTTCAGCTACAGAAAACCTAATGCCATCTTAATTTGTTGACATTTCAGACCTATGGTTATCTTTTGTTGCGTCGAACTAGCTAATGCTTCTGAGGATTGTTCCTCTTGTTGCTGCGAGGACTGTCCTTGCGAAGTCTGTTCTTGCGAAGTCTGTTCTTGCAAAGTCTCTTTTGAGGTTGACGCAGCTGTTGTCTGCTTCTTCTTCTTCTTTCCTGTAATTTGTATTATTCTTTATTAAATATATATCTCTTAAAGAATAGGTGCAAATCAAATTTTAGAAGATTGTAATATACACATAACACATTTATACACTTGAAGCTTTTAGCTAATTATTTAAATAATTACTTTTAATAAATACATACATAAGTTCTTGTAGCTACATTATGCTATACTTTCTGTACAATAAAATAGGTCTATTAAAATAGGAATGTTAGAGAAAAAAAATAAAAATTATTTATTTTTGTATAATAATTATTATTATACAAAAGTTCAGTTGTAAAGAACATAATGCCATCTTGACTTCATTCTACAAATGCAAGTGTGCACAGCAACAATAATTGCGTTTTACTTGATACTTGCAAGTTGCAATGTTCACGAGTAACATTTATCTTTGTATTTTTAATAAATAATAAGGATAAAATGATGTAAGAACATTGTGAATGCCAAGTGGAACGCAGCCAGTACGAATATGTTACACTTTTAGTATAGTTTGTTTGTATTGTAACAACTCTGAAGTTGTTATAACTCTGGAATACAGAAATTCAATTTCGTAACGTTTTCGATTTGCTGACTCCGAGTCAATGATCTGTTCCTTTTATTTATATTTCTTGCATAGTTTAGCTCTTTTTTTTGCAGCTAAAAAGAACGTATCATTGACTAGAGGTTGAGTCAAGCCAGCAAATCGAAAACACGATTAGATTGCATATTGTAAGATCAATCTATAATACATAGATTGATTATACAGATTTATTTATTTCTATATATTGTGACTTGTTTTTTAAAATACAAACAAATAATTCGGATAATGAATTGAATTATTATAGAAGTAATCAATTATCGATGTATTTGTAGGAAAAATGGAGACATTTGCTTTGAAACGATCGCATATAACAGCTGGCACTTACCTTTCTTCGTCATTTTGTCTTAATTCAATATCAAACAAAGCTCCAAAGATATATTGCGTGACACAATCACTTGTTAGCTCCGTTGGGTAACAACTACAATGTTCTAATTATGTTGTTACCAAGTTTTGCTGTCTCGTATCTCGTCAAACGACAGTTTACCCTCGAATGTTCTAGAAGCTTTCACAGCACATATAAGTGAGTAACGGAATTCCCCGAACTCTGGATACCTCGGATTTTGTTACAAACACGCAAAATGTCTGCTCAACGATTGGAGATAAGAGATAGATGAAGTATAATGGCTACCTCTACACAGTGCACCGTCATAGTATAATGCCCATATCAGGAGGTCGATCAAGTGTATCTCGAAATGAGATAAAAATTATAAAAATGAGCAAATTTATTAGGAAATTCATTATTCAATTATTTAATGAATTTACTTTTGTAATTTTCATCTCATTTCAAAATACACAATCGACTCCCAGACTACGAATTAACGATTACGATTGACGGTTATTCGGTTCTACTTCAACCAATCACAATGTAGCAAATCCATCGTATTACACCGAAGTACAAGCTTATTTTTGCTCCTCATTGTACATGAAGTCTTATACCCGAATTCATAGTCCTTCCTTAAGGAACGAGGATTCCTTGTTTCTTATTTTAAGGTTTCATAAACCTTCCTTGATCAAACAAGAAACTTTATTAGCTTCTTTTTTTCAAGGAAGGTTACGAGTTTCCTTGAGGAGGTGCAGTCTTCATAACCAATCAAATCACCAAATTTAATTCATCACTGGTCTTTTTATTTTCAATAGCTTTTAATTTCGAGAAGATCTGTCGTATCGATAATTATTTTCAATAGTTTTTTTTTCGAAAATAAACTGTGTCAAAAGTATTTTCTCCTTCTTCGTATAATAAGCATTATGACGAATCCGATTGGAAGCACTGATGCATATTAAGCCGTTGTACACTGATTTGACTTAAGTATAAAAATAAAATCTAAATATTTCGAATTATGAAATACATATTTTACCTAACAGCACAATAAAATATATTGAGTATTTTACAATTTAATCGATTTCCATGTTTATTTATAAACATATATTTACCTTATTTTGTGTATGTATGACAGTTTTAATGTGCGCGGTGAGTGCGTCCAATTAATTCGCTATTAATTTTATTTTTTATCCATTATTGTTGTAAAATGCTTAATCACGACTTTATTTAATTAACAATGTCTTTATAACTTTTGTTATTCGTAATTCATGATATTACGTTTGCATATATTATATATTATGACATACTGCCTTCAGTAGGTTACTAAAATCCCTAATATATTTCTTCCTTCGGGAAGGCAGACTTGAGATCCATTTATGAAACAAGGAGGCCTTGGAGAATCGAGGAATCTTTCATGGAGGCTTCCTCTATTCTTAAAATAAGGAAGGACTATAAATATGGGTATTAGGGTTGATAGGAGCAACAAATTACGAAGCCTATCATTTCATTAAAGAATCAAATTTTATAATTTTATTCTTAAAAACATTTTAATAAATAAAATGATATGTTTCTTATTTACGCGCAGATACACGTTTTATGCTGATATTTTACCTTCAAGAAGTAATATTACGTCATAAAATCTTTTTGATTTCTTTTTTATAAAACTGATGCAAAGGCGCGTACAAAGGCAGATTTTGCAAATTGGTTCTTCAAAAATTATAATAAATAAAATCATATGCATTTCAACTGCACTATAGTATACATCAGATGAAATACAAAAATAAATTATTATTTTGCCTTTTTCCCCAAAAAATTGCTCTTATCGAGGGAGCCTTTCCTGATTACGAGTATCGCAATTAAAACGCGATTCATGTAATATTTTAGCATAATTTCAGCATAAGGAAATTCATATATAAGTGCTGATCTAGATCAATTATGCTGGTTTTTCTTCTTAAAGAAATAATTATTATTTCTTTATGATACTTTTTGGGATTTCTTTCTTATATTGCTGGGAAAAACTCGTACACAGATTTTATAAATCGATTCTTGAAAATTTTTTAATAATAAAATTATGTATTGTACTATATCTTATAACTGCGTATAGTACACATTAGATGAAATATTAGAACAAATTTTTATTTTGCCTTTAAAAAAAAATCGCTTTGTCGCAATTAAGATGCAATTCATCCAGTATTTTAGCCGTAATTTCAGCATATAAAGAAATTTGTCACATATATAAGATATTAGATATATAGATATTATTAATTATAAGGGGTGCCTCCTTATTATGATATATCAATCGCACATCACCAATGAGCTAATTTAAAATAATATGATCTTATTGGTAAAGCAGTGAAAAATTACTAGGAACAGAGCGATGTAAGTGGTGTGTGCAATTGAACTATGTGCAAGTGCGCCATTCCTATTCCGAGCATCATATACGAGTATTTTTAGGAACGCCAGAAGATGGCATATGCAAGAAATCAGCCATATTGTTAAAAGTATTGAGAATACGCAGTACAGCTTCCATGAGAACTACGCGTTTCTCTCCGCGATCGCGGATGTGTCACATAACCAACGTCGCCGATCCTGACCGATAATGTTTATAAATATTGAAATTTGACATATAAGCCAGCAACAACTCTAAGTTTCGCGAAAATCGTCCTGCTCCCGGTGATGCCCGCGCGATACACTTCGGAGCGATGCCGTTAATGTGATAGATCGACGCCAAAGAAAATCGGACGTCGAAAAAAAAATGACAACTGGTCAGAGTGGACACGATCATTCTCTCGCTATCAGACAGGAAATACAACGTTTTGAAAGCGTTCACCCATCGATATATGCCATTTATGATTTGATAGAGGTCGTGCCTGACGCGCACGTCGCTAAACAAATTCGCGAGCATGTTGTAGCAATAGAGGGTATGCTTTTTAATTATGTATATATTTTATATGCATATACTTTATAATTATGTACATCTCAATAGATGATGTTTGCTGTATTTGCAATGTTTATGTATAATAATATCTTATATGATTAAATAGTATGTATAATGTTATATACATATTATGTTAAGCTTGTATCATACATAATAATAGTTGCATTCAGCAGAGAAAAAACTGATTAGAGAGTACTGCGTAATTTTGCAATAATTTATTCTTATCTTTAATTTGCTGGATCTAAAGAATCAATGGCTGTATTCAATAGAAAAAGCTGTTTTGCAACTGTTGTAAAATTTTTTAATATGATTGATTTATACATTTAGATCCAATGAGGAAATAAGGACAACACTAATAATTAAAGAACAATTGCAAAACTGTTTTCTCTGCTGTATGCACCCAATTGTATTAAAAAATAATGTTTACTAATCAATTTTCTCTGCTGAATGCAGTCAATGATCGTGTTCAGTAAAAGATTGTTATGGATTATTGGATGATCTATGTGTAAAAGAATATATCAATAATAACAAGTGCTCATGTATCTGTTCTGCAAGTTGAATCTGCTGAATGTGACCAATGTAAGTTCATGTTCTTTTAGATTCCTTCGTCAACAGCCATGAATGGACGTTGGCAAGAGATGTTCCAGAATTGCATCTGGGGATCATTGGTTCCTCAGACTCAGGAAAGTCAGCTTTGGTTCATAGGTATCTTACAGGATCCTTCATGCATGAAGAATCACCAGAAGGTGGTCGTTTTAAAAAGGAAATCTTCATAAATGATCAGAGTTACCTTCTCTTGATAAGGGACGAGGGTGGCGTGCCAGAGGCTCAAGTATGCAACAAAACTATTTTGCTTCATAAGTCATTATTTGTCAATGCCTATTATTATATCAAATAATAATGGATGTGTCCATTTCAGTTTTCAGCTTGGATAGATGCTCTATTACTTGTATTCAGCTTAGAAAATGAAGAGAGTTTCTCTATAGTTTGCAGTTTTTACAATAGAATGTGTTCTTTTCGGAATATGTCAGAAGTACCAAAAATACTTGTAGGTGTACAAGGTATGCTGTAATCAGATAATAAATTGTCAATTTTTGTTTTATTAATTATTTCTCACATTCATGTTTCTAAATTATTGATTTATTAATTTTTTGCAGATTCGATTAACGACAGCAATCCTCGTGTCATAAAAGATGTTAGACCACGGAAACTGGCGTGTGATTTAAGATGTCCTTATTATGAAACATGTGCTATTTATGGTTTAAACGTTGAAAGAGTATTTCAAGATGGTAAGGATGTTTATGGCAGGAACTAAACGCATAAATTTGTTATAAGTTGAAACAAAAACATGTTTCTTTAAATTATATTTCTAACGTTTGTATTAATAAGTGAAAAATTTTAGTGTGTCAAAAAATCATACAGAACATATCGATGAAGAATTTTTCATGCGATGTGTGTCAACATGCTACGGAAAATGAAGTTAAATTTGCAGTCCCTGCTATTATTAAAAACGTGCAACTTCATAACAAAGATACAGAGACCACAAATTCATTGAAAGTAAACGTGAGTCAGTTTATCAGTTATGTCCTCCAGTAAATCAAACATCATATAAGTTTAAAGTAAATTTCTTAACAGGTTTTAGAAAAAGACGAGGATTGTCGATCCATTCACAATAGTTCTATGACAAACGATTCGTCATTGCTGAATGATAATTTTCATAACGTACAAAATCAACATGGAGAATTGCGTTCGTCAATCTTGACACCAACAACTATCAGGTTTGAATATACTTTTTTTTAAATACTTTCTACATTTTTTTACATTGATACTATTATAATATTATTTTGTTTCCCAGAAAATTTAGAAGAAAATCGAACATATTTACACCTTCCAAGAAGGAGAAATATATGGGCGAAATGGGTGTTGGTAGAGAAATACCAGTAAAACAAGGTTATTTATTTAAACGAAGCAGCAAGTCGTTGAAAGAATGGAAGAAGAAATACGTAACGTTATTAGAGGATGGACGTTTGACTTATCATTCGAGCTTACATGTAATTATGTTATGCAATAGTTGTCTATTTTATCACTTTATGCATTTATACGATATGTTTAGTGTAAGGAAACATTTTTAGGATTACATGAACGATACTAATGGCAAAGAAATACTTTTGCAATATGTTACTGTGAAAGTACCTGGTAAAACACCAAAAGGTTCCAAATCATACAATGCTCAAGGTATTGCACTCTTTGCAGATTACATGTATATAATTAACAGTTGTAGAATATTTTTATCATTTTTAATATGCATATTCTTTCTTTTTCTAGAAGATAGTTTCGAATTTTCCATTATTTCCTTGGAGAACAAAACTTGGCACTTTGAAG